GGAAAGAGGGAAAAATCACCACTCGAATACTACTGTATTAATCATTTTTGATTCCCTGCACAGTTATATTTTAATTGGTTTCAATCACAGTTTTTCAGTATCACTTATTTGATATTCAGTTAACTTTCAATAACAAAATATAAATATACAGGTTATATATGGAAATAAAGTGGCATGAGATATGTGGTAAAGAGTAGTATGTGTGTGTGTGTGCGCGTGCCACACACATTTTTTTTTTATTTCTTAAAGTATTACAAAGAGTATTACACATGTCTCCTTTTTGCCCCCCTTGACATTCCCCGGCTTCCCCTACCCCCCAGTGTCTTGTGTCCATTAGTTATTCTCATATGCATGCATATAAGTCCTTCGGTTGATCTCCTACCCCCCCACATTTTTTCTTTGTTTAGTGAATAATGTCACTAAAGCTATATTTGGCATTAGGAGTTCTTTCAATTTCCAGCTAGGGTCTCTAATTTCTTTTTTATTTTTTAAAAAATAATTTTATTGATTTCAGAGAGGAAGGGAGAGGGAGAGATAGAAACATCAATGATGAGAGAGAATCATTGATTGGCTGCCTCCTGCATGCCTCCTACCGGGGATCGAACCCACCACCCGGGAACGTGCCCTTGACCAGAATCGAACCTGGGACCCTTTAATCAACAGGCTGACACTCTATCCACTGAGCCAAACCAGCCAGGGCTCTAATTTCCTTTTTAAATCAAGAGTTCCCATTTGAAAACTTTATCGTCCTTTCAGATAAATTCCATTTTATTCTGGTTGAAAGTATTAGAGCATTCTTCCTGATACTTTCTGCATGCCTTTGACTTGCCTGTCTTGCCAGTTGTGTGATAGGAACCACCCCAGAGCACGTCACATGCCATTATGGTGGCTTTATTAAAGATCAAAACTTTGTATGGCAAACAAAACAGAAACCTTAAGGAACTCATTCAGGAAAACAAAAACTTGCTATGTGAAAACCAACTTTACCAAGAACTGAAGTTACCTAATAAAAATGGATAGATTCTAATTTCATAAGTGCCACTCTAATAGCTAAATAGCAAGAACAGTTTCCTGGCGTTAATTTGTCCCTAGGACATATCTTTGACTCAAAGGTCATTTTCTTTTTTTGACACAACGTCGGCTGAGAAGCTGAATAGAACAGACGTACATACCCATTCACTTCTTAGAAAATCATATTGGGAACTCATCCACAAGCCTATTCCTAAGCAATAGAATAATGTATTGAGTGGAATTAATTTAGAAAGTAAGTAGTCTCTAATAGTCTAGCTGCTATCACCAAAAGATTTCTTCCCTGGCTCATAGGCAGTATCAAAACATTTTTGAAATGGAATTTGGAAACAGATAGGGACTAGAGTTTAAATTGAACCTATGCAACTTTCTAGCTGTGTGACCTTTGGCAAATTATTTAGTTCATTTTTCTTTAAATGTCATTATTGACATTATGATCTCAGAAGTTGTCTAGGTAGCTACTGCCTTGTCACAAATTGAGGGAGGAAATGAAGAGGAGGCTTTTGCTTTGAAAGTTTCCCCAAACCCGTATTTCTCAAGGTAAGACAAACTAGACCCCTCGACCTGATTGGTGTGTGTTTTCCTTTCCTGAATTTCATTTGTGGCATTTTCCCTTGAACATTTGAGTCTTACTCTCAGCTTGTCTGTACCAATTCAGTATGTGCCTGTCATCACCTTTGCATGTAAACAGAAGAAAAGTTCTGCACTCAGTTAATAGCATGAAGCCCTTCTTCTAAAATAGGGAAGTACCTAAGCAGAAGGGTTTTCATGCTATTCTTATTAATAATTCCAGTAGAAGCAGACTTTAATTTATAGAAAGTTTTTCTTTTCAGTAAATTTAGGTTTAAGATATAATAGGAGCAAAGATTTAAAAAGATTTTGATTCACGATTGGGGTTTGGGCATTGTGGTAGATAGGGCATCCAGGGGACAGTGGAATTCATGTTTGCCTTGGGAGCTTTTCAGTCCTTTGTAGTCACTTTGACTTTTGTGGGTATTTTCCATTTCAACCCAACTTCAGAGAGTAAAGCTTTGCTGCCTCCTTTCTGACTTTCCCTTATTTTGCTGCAGATCTTACTCTAGCACCTCCATAGAAGAGGCCATGAAAAGGGGCGAGGACCCTCCCACCCCGCCACCGCGGCCACAGAAAACCCATTCCAGAGCCTCCTCCTTGGATCTGAATAAAGTCTTCCAGCCCAGTGTGCCAGGTGAAGTTCCCCTCTGCACCCCAGCCCTTCCCTTTCCTGTTAGAGTCAGTGGATGGGTGTCTGCCACAGAGGCCTTTGTGAGCCCAGAAAATGAGCAGACCTGGCTGTTTCCCATCCCAGGAAAGTCTACACTTACTATGAGATTCTTGGGAGGGAAAGCAGTTCTAGGCAGATAGATATCACATGTGTCTGGAGCCTTGCCCACACTTGCTCTGGACCAAGAATTATGAAGTTCTGTACCAAGAGGATAAAATGCTTCATTCAGACAGCCCACTGAGTGTGTGGCTGGGGTCTTGTTATCTGCATCCTGGTCATTTGTATACATGATTGTTATCTGTCATTTCCTCAGTTCTTCTGTGAAAGATCTGGGTGAGCAGTGCCTGGCCAGAATGCTTTGCATTTTATCCCTGTGGCGAAGATCCTGTGTCCTGTTGGGTTTAATGCTAAGGGGACTCTGCTTTCTAAGTCTGACTGATGGTTAGGTGGTAGGTGGTGGGGTCTAGTGTAAGGGCTCCTTCAGGTGGGATGCTCTTGGACTTCTGGGGCTGTGACTTTCTTGATCTAGCTGCTGTAGAGCTGGGCTGGAGTGTGGGTGGTGTCAGAGGGGCCTGACTGTTCCCCTGGCTCCCTGTGAAGTGGAAGATTAGGGAACCTATGGAACAGAAGCTGAGAATCATGCCTTTGCTTTGCTGAAGGTACTAGGATACAACGCCATCCCAAGTGTTACTTTCGGAGCAGCAAGGGCCTTTCCACTGACTAATGTAGGCAAGCTATAAATACACTGATTTCCTGGACCTTTTTATACCTATGTGCATTTTAAATCAAGCCAACCTCATATGCTAATGATTTTCAGATTATTATCTTTTCTACTAAAGCAAGAAAAGACTCCTTGGCTCACACATTAGCATGACCTCTGTGTCCCGGCAGAGCTCAGCATGCTTTATTTGTTCTAATAAAGTACTCTCTTCACAGTAAAGTTATAGAATGTTTTTTAATATACTAGAATCTGGAGCTCTCTCTGAAATTTGATTCTCTGCCATGAGTTCATCAGATAAAAATTTGCCTTGAATTTCCCCCCATACTTTGATCCAAATTCTGGCATAATTTCATAGTAACTAGTATCTGGGGTGGGAGTAGCCATGGATGATGATGCTATAAAAATTTTACATGACTGGTGGATTATGACCTAGAAGATTTTTCTGTGGATGCAAGAAGATTAAAACAATCTGGGCAGCTGTCTCAATATGTTTTCTTTGCAAGGAGAGAGGCTGGAAACACAAGCATCTCACAGGCTGTGTGACTCCACAAGGAGTGCCAGCTGTTTGGAGAATGGATGTGCTGTGGCTTTTATGACATTGCATCCTAGAGAGGAAGAGACAAGACTGGACTCAGAAACTTGCTCTGCTTCTTATTAACTATATGATTTTCATCAACTGGTTTAATCTTTTTGCACCTCGATTTCCTAATCTGTAAAATAGGGCCAATATCCAGAGAATTGGAGGGTTTGGGTGAGATAATCTATATATCTATATCTATATCTATATCTATATCTATATCTATATCTATATCTCTATATCTATTTATATCTATATCTATTTATATCTATATCTATATCTATGCCTAAGCGACCATTACGACCAGAATGACAGGTCAATCAGTCATTATGATGCACACTGACTACCAGGAGGCAGACACTCAACACAGGAGCTGGCCCCTGGAGGTCAGTGTGCTACCACAGCCAACCTCCCTTGGTCCCTGCGCCCAGCCAGCTGCACTTTCTCCCCCCAGCTTGCCTGATCGCCAGCCAGGCCTAGGGACCCCACCCATGCACAAATTCGTGCACCGGATCTCTAGTAAATATATAATCCAAATAGCAACATGTTTGGCCCATAGGCACTCATTCCTGGAGCAGACTGATGAGGGAAGGGAGTCTGAGGAGGATAAAGCCCTCTGACTTCCTTGACCGCCTCCCCAGCGTGACAGTTCTGTGATTTGTCCCCCAATTGCATGCTGTAGTACTCCATTAATAACACATTTTTTTCTTGACTTTCTTCCTTCCTGCCCTGTGTCACTTTCCCCACACCCAAATAAAATACCTGTTCCTAAGTCCCCATCTTAGGGGCTGCTTTTGGGAGAACCTGAATTAAGACAGCTTCTTTTTTAAAAAATATATTTGTATTGTTTTCAGAGAGGAAGGAAAAGGGGGAGATAGAAACATAAATGATAAGAGAGAATCATTGATCGGCTGCCTCCTGCATGCCTCACACTGGGGATCAAGCCCACAACCCGGGTATGTGCCCTCACTGGGAATTGAACCATGACCTTCTGGTTCATAGGTCAACACTCAACCACTGAGCCATGACGGCTGGGCTCGAGTACAGATATTTTACCTCCTTGGTTAAGTTTATTCCTAAGTATCTTAATGTTCATGTTGCAATGGTAAATGGGATTGTTTTTCTTAGTTTCTCTTTCTGAGAGTTCATTATTGGTATATAAAAATGCCATTGATTTCTGGGTGTTAATTTTGTATTCTGCTACATTGCCAAATTCATTTATTAAATCTCATCATTTCTTAGTGGAGTCTTTATGTGCACTATCATGTCATCTGTGAATAATGACAGTTTTACTTCCTCCATTCCAATTTGGATGCTTTTTTCTCTTTCTTGTCTTATCACTGTGGCAAGTACTATGTTGAATAAGAGA